GTTAGGGGGGGGTTGTTTTACCGGTATCTTTTTTAAAATGTTTATGACGTAACAATTTCTACATTAAAAAATCGAAAGAAACAGTCTTGGTACTTGTATAATTATATATAGCTCTCAGGCTCAGTTGAACAATACTAATTCATTTAGTCACACATGGTTGGCTTAGCCGATACCAACATCGTCGGTGCCACAGACGAAGTGAAGCGCAAAACTTCGTACTGTGTACTGTATGTACTACATGACATGTTTTCCATGTCTGAGGTCACTCGTAGTAGTGTACACGTGAAAGAGGAGAAACAGGAACATAATTGGAGTGATCATTAATTATCTTGATGTGGTTCTATTGTGTCTCCTAAGTGCTGTCTGACAATGAAAAAGAGCCTTTCATTAGCCAGACAAACTGGCAGAGGTCTCTGACCAGCTGTTGTTGTTTATTTCTTCAATAACAATTAATATTATCGTGAAAGATGAGGCTTGTGAATTAATAGCATTTGGTTCTGGACATAGCAGCAGTCCAGTGTGCGTGGTTTGTGATTGCTCAGGTATGATTAATTACTCTTTTTTTCTATCAAGCATCTGTCATCTTTATCTCTCCTCCTTCTTTTCTTTGTATGTTACTCTCTAGTAACACCTCTAAAACTTCAGCGCATATATTATGACCTTTTTATTTTATTTTTTTTGCAAGGGCCATAAAACTCACTAAAACTCCAGTCAGGGAATGAGAGGTGAATGGCAAATCTAGCCGCTGAGAGGTCGTTAGAGGGCAACAATCATCTCATGATGTTATACAACGCTCTAGACTAAGCCGCTAACCATGTGTAAGCGCACCTTTGGAACAATGATCATTAAAATTCGATAACGTTGATTTCCACAAAGAGAACTTTGCTGCAGCGTGGTGAATACAAAAATGTACACACGCATGTTAATAAACTCACACTGAACACACAAACACACTCACACACACACACACACACACACACACACACATACACACACACACACACACACACATACACAAACACAAACGTGCAAGTGCAATTACGAATTGTCATTGGATAGATATGTACAAAATAGTTATGGCATCAATGTACGTTTCCCAAACAATATGATTACCTTCCAGAAGACAACTGTTCTATCAGTTCTGGTCTAAGATTTATTTTTCCTCTCTTTCTCTTGCTGTTAATTTCTTCTTTCCTTTCTTTCTTCCTCTCCTTTAAAACTTCCATTCATCTTTCTTTCTTTACCTCCACATGACAACAGTTCCATCAGTTTGTGGTCAAAGCTTTCAGTGGCGCACAAATGACAGGAGAAATCTTCGTGTAAAGACATTGGTAACAAAATGTCTCCGATAACAACGTAAAACCCCAATAACAATGAGAAATATTTGCTTGTCAAAAGATTTCTATTTTGATGCGCGATTTGGGAATAACAGCAGACACTGTGTGTTATGGTCTCCCTCGTTACAAAGTTTCTGCCATATAAAATCGTGTCGAGAAAGGAAAGGTGGGGGTGTTTAGGGAGGGGGTTGTTTCTTGTTGTTGTTGTTGTTGTTGTTGTTGTTGTTGTTGTTGTTGTTGTTGTTGTTGTTGTTGTTGAAGGGCTTTTGTGGTTTTTAAATTAACACTGGTATTATATTGTAATCATAGCTGTCTGTGTCTTTTGCTTCTATCAAAACCAAATACATGCAGATGCTGTCTAATCCCAACAACAAAGACAGATTCAATTTGTTTTACAACTGGCTATTCATAGATCTGTTTAGTTTCGTGCATTGAGGTTGAGTCTAAATTTCCTGTGTTTGTTTGTTTTGAGTAGAGATAGCTGTATCGACATAATAACAGTCATTAAAATTCGGTCTTGGGAAAAGGTAAGAACGACGGAGAGACGGAACAAGGGTAGGGGGGGGGGTGCGAAGAAGTAAGACTTGGATCTGCGATTGACAACAAAAACTTACTGACGTCCGAGAGCAACACGTAAAAATTTTCGAAAGGACTTCTTGCAGAACTCTTATCTTATCTTATCTATCTGCTCTCTCTCTCTCTCTCTCTTTCTCTCTCTCTCTCTCTCTCTCTCTCTCTCT